CCTAGTGGCGATGGCCTCCAACCTAGTAGCGATGGCCTCCACCCTAGCGGCGATGGCCTCCAACCTAGTAGCGATGGCCTCCACCCTAGGAGCGATGGTCTCTGACGGAGTAGCCATGGCCTCCAACCTAGTAGCGATGGCCTCCACCCTAGGAGGAGCGATGGTCTCCAACCTAATAGCGATGGCCTCCAACCTAAGAGCGATGGCCTCCAACCTATTAGCGATTGCCTCCAACCTAGCGATGGCCTCCAACCTAATAGGGATGGCCTCCAAACTAATAGCGATGGCCTCCAACCTAGTAGTGATGGCTCCATGGCCTTCAACCTAATGGCGATGGCCTCCAACCTAATAGTGATGGCCTCCAACCTAATAGCGATGGCCTCCAACCTATTAGCGATGGCCTCCAACCTAATAGCGATTGCCTCCAACCTAGTAGCCATGGCATCCAACCTAGTAGCGATGGCCTCCAACCTAGTAGTGATGGCCTGAAACCTAGTAGCGATGGCCTCCATGGCCTCCAACCTAATGGCGATGGCCTCCAACCTAATTGTGATGGCCTCCAAACGAATAGCGATGGCCTCCAATCTATTTGGACTTGCCAACCGTCTGGACTCATTCTGTTTTGATCTTGAGGGCAACGGAGAACCACGAGCGGTTGATGGAAAAGAACTTGCGGCCTCCTTTGCTCTTGCCGTCAACGCTTTTGTGCAGCACTACTGGACTTGCCTCAAAGACTATGAGGTAACCCTTGACCATCAAGTTGAGGGCTCTGGTCACGTGGCTTTGGAGGAAAGGCAGCAGACCTTTGAGGGCTTAAGACATTTGAGAGGTTTTGTAGTGTTTCTGACCCGCTCAAAACCCTGCTTAGTCTATTCTTTGTATGGCTGCAGAGAACCTCTTGGTCACAAGCAACGTTTACTTTTCGTCGTGCAATCATGCAGTGGGACCTGCAGCGTGTACAAATGTTCAACAGAGTACAGTATCATATATCACTACACTACTTGCGCCAGTGGGAATGCAACGGCCGCAGGAAATGATGCCCAGATGGCACGATGACCTTGTAGATCACTTTCGAGTTGGTTTAGATCCTGAGGCGTGCACTGTCCTTGTACACGTTCCTTTTTTGACCATTATACCATTTGTCATTTCAAATTGCGCAGAGTGCTTGCTTGTTTCATCCTGATCTGGAGAGGCAACGATCAAAATGTACACAAGTGGCACCATGGTTGCCATCCGACGTGTGTTCAGACATTTCTCTTTGGAGGCAGATGGCACGGTACACCCACCAGACGGGATGTTGCCCGAAGGTTTTCATCTTGGACAAGTGGGAAGACCTACATCCATTGAATCGACAGATGAAACCCGAAAGCAAACGCTCTTTCGTCCATTTCAATTTCCCGAGGGTATTCCCGGGCTTGATTATCATGCCTTCATAAACAGCAACTTCTCAGATTGGACCGGAAGAAGGCCGGTTCACTTCTTTGAAAGGAAGCCTTTCCACAGAGCTCTGAACTGCGCAATATGTCAGGATTCACCCAATGTCTTACGGGCTGTCATGAAGATCATCATGGACATCAATTACTTTATTAATTCCGTTCATCATGAAGGGGGAGTTTTCTACAGTGGAGTTGGAATTGGTGAATCTTTGCGCTTGGTGGAACCTGGTGCAAAGCTGCGCATGCCCCGCTTCCTATCAACGACTACGGAACTGAAGTTTGCAAAGTCTCGACTTACTGACAAAGTTGGACCTGCACTCTTGGTGATTCGGATTCCACATGGCTTCTGGGGTGCTCGTGACATCTCCGCGTTTTCTTCTTGTCCGGAAGAGAATGAAACTATGTTCTGCGCATATGCACTGTTTCATGTGGAACGTGTATCATCAATCAAGATGCAAGGCCAAGAGGTCACAAGAATAGACCTGAAGGCATTGGACAAATATGAGGGCATTGACTATACTGATGACGCATTTCCGCCATTTCACCATGCACCCATTGAAATTGATGAGCTTGAAGCTCATGAGAGCTATGTTCGTCAGTATTCCTAAGAGAATGATCATGTGAGTGTGAAAAGCGTGCAGGTTTTGAGAAGCTTTCTTTGAGTGGAGCTTTTGTTGCTGCTATGTTGCGCCATACATAACTTCTTCAAGCTCTTGGTTGCGGTTGTGTCTTGCATAGTCTCCCAGGCTTTCTGGTACGGCTGCTGCATTTGATTCACTGGCCTCTGGAGCGAAGTATTGGCTGCTGCGTCACTTGGCTTGAAATATCTGCAGGTTTGGTGACAGCGGCAAAATTATGTTGCCATCGTTTCCTCTTAGTTTGGTGCTTTTGATATTATGGAGTTACATAGTACGCTTAGCACACTTGGCTGTTTTGCAGTGCAGCATATATAATATATAGACGCCACGTGCATTTGGGAAGCGAAAAAGCAAGAACCTTGCTGACTTTCAGACTTGCTACCTGAGGTCTGCGTTTCCTGCGTGTTGTGCATAATTGCTTCAGACTCTTGCGCATATTTTGGAGGTGTGTCAGAATCAGAATCCTTCGTGGTTTTGCAGCTCAGAGTGTCTACTGGGGGAGAAGTCGTGACGATTTCTGCAGGGAAGGCCTGGGGCAAGCGGCCTCTTATCTTGGTCAGCCCGCGGAAGACATTCGAGGCATCTTGGCCTGTGAAGATCACTCTTTTCTCGTAGAAACAGCTACCAGCAGTCTGGGATAAAAGCTGCTTAATTTGACGTGATGCCTTTTCGTGAGGGCGCATATTGCGGTCTCTTGGGCTCCGTGGTGATGGCACTGCTTTGTGATCAGGCGCAGCACTGTAGGGAAGTAAGTTTGTGCAGCTTTTCCAGCTTGGCCTTGGTGCAGATGTGGGGCTTTCCATCTGACCCACCTATGGCGATGTGAGGATCCTGGTTAGAGCCTTCTGAAACTGAGCATCAAAGACACCCACATGGTATTGTTTCTTGGGTTGGTGCAGTTCCGGGTTGAATGAGGTTGACCGGTGCCTTGATATTTTCTGCTAGCCTGCTTGGAGACTTGGTGGTTTCAGCCACTTGACCAGAGAAAGGATGTGTATATAGACCGCTTGGGAAATTTGTTTCGCATGATCCCAAGCCTACATGAATCTTTATAAATTCCAATCTCAGTGGCTTTGCACAAATATTACACCACCTACGTGCTTGTTTAAATGTACCATTTACAGCATTTACAGCAATTGCTTGGCATGCAATTTTCTGTGGGGGAGCATGGTTCCCAATGGGCCAAGGCCATGAAGCGGGACGCCAGAGTCAAGGCTTTACCTGTGGATGTCGCTTTACGGAACGTCCTTTTGTTCCTACAGCCCCTAGTAGCGTTCTTGCTCCTAGTAGCGATGCCCTTTGTTACTAGTAGCTTCTTGTTCCTACTAGTAAGGCCAGGAGCCCCTAGTAGCGTCTTTGCTCCTGGTAGCGATGCCCGTGAGCCTTTTCACTGCAGGACACTGGTTCAATCATTCCAGGGCATGGAGGAATTCTTGATCGATTTGACTCCTACTTCTTTGCAGCACCAGTGGCATACTTCTGCTGGCAAGCCCCTTTGTTTCTCATCGACCTATGAAGACTCATGTCTTGTGTTTGCTTACTTACTCTAGGCTATTGGGCAAAGTTTGCAATTACCGTACAAATATATATATATATATGAACTGATTGGATGCTTCAATTGCAAACAGAGCTTGTTTTGGCTCAGAACTTCACATTTGGCCACATAGTCCATGATCATGTGTTGAGATTGACATGGAATGGCTGCAGATAGAACCAATAGTATCAGAATCAATGACATCATTGGACCATTGGACAGACCAATGTGAGACGACCAACATATTGGGTTGCAGTTATTCTGCAACCAGTTGGCACAAATGAATTGTGGAAGGATACCAGATTTGTTTTAGCTCATCATGCAATGACTCGCGCTGAGACCCTCGTTATATAGGTTTCCGAACGGAAAAGTTGGGTCTCTCTCTCTCTCTCTTTAATGCATCCCATGTTGGTGTATTACCTTGCAATCGAGCCCAGACAATGAGCTCCATGGCGGAGCTCTCCCTCGAGGCGGAAGCCTACCTATGGTGGCCTCTTATACTGTACATGTTTTACCTCATGTCAGTGGTTTGCGATGACTACTTGTTGCCAGCTGTCGATGCCATCAGTGCTCGCTTTCATATTCCCGATGATGTTGCAGGACAGAGCCCAGCTTCGGAATGGTGAGGTTTCAGTTCAGTAGCCTGGTTTAGTTTTTAAAAGCGATCAAGGGATCGTTCTTTTAATTTGACTCAACATGACAACAGTGGGTGCTTGAAAGCCTTGTTTATCGAGGTAACCCTAAAGATTCTTGATCACCACAAGAAATGTAGCCTTGCGACAAGTGGATATACTATCAGTTGTATGAAGCAATATAATGACGACCAATGAACCAGAATAATCGAAGTCGTTTCAACTAATGCTGCAAGAGTAGCTTGCTGAAGACAAACATGCTTTTTGGATTTTCTGGATAAAGACATCATACCAAGCATCCAAGCTGGGGGTTCTGGCTGTTTCTTGTTGCGATCGCTCTGACACCTGCCAACGCCAGACTACTGGGACGGTGTGGCATGTGGCTGCACTGGCAAAGCTTCAGAATCCAATTGCGCTTATTTTGGTGTAGTTCTTAGTAGCTCTGGCTTGTAGGAAGATATGTAGTACAGTATATAGATACAATTGCACTGCAATGAAGGCGGAGCCGGGCGATCAAATCTGTAAGCAATGATCCTGCTAAAGCCGCAAAAAGATCTGAAGCCTTTTCAATTCGACCATCTCTTTTGAAAACTCGTACTGCAGGAGCAACACTCGTGGCCTTTGCCTGTAACGGTCCAGAACTGTTGACGAACAGCTGCTCCATCTACCTGAACGATGAATCAGTAGGAGATTCAGATTTTTCAGTAGCAGAATTTCCGAGATTGGCTGTCTTTGAAACTGTCGCCTCGCAGGAATTGGGACCATCGTTGGCTCCGCAATCTTCAACGTACTGGTGATGAACTCAGTGGCTGTGTTTGCTTCAGTCACGAAGCTGCACGTGCGTGCGGTCATTTCTGTTTTTTATTTTTTGGTGAGAGAAATAAGGTCATTACAGGGTGCTGTCCACTCGTTGCACCAGACCGCTTTTTGAAGATAAACCCCGCATTCTTTCTGCGAGATGCATTCTTTTCCGCGTTGTCTATCGTGCTCCTTAGTTTCATTGGCCTGCATGGGTGCTAGTTCTCACCAGGAGTTTTGCATGATCGGACAGTCAGATATTGGTTTGATGCACTCAGTCTACTTTGGTGGGCGCTCCCCATTGTGGACCTCTTCAAAGCCTCTACATTGCTGGCTTTCTCTGCCCTCTATGCATGGGTTGTTGCAAAAAGTGGCCAATGGTTTGGCGATCACCGCTATGTGTGCTCCTGAGACATGATGGATGAGAATGAATTGGGGAAGCTAGCTAAGCTATATAACAGATTGGAAGTTCCGAGAACTGATTTCTGAAGATCCTCCTTCATTGTCTTGGGCTGCCAAGGATGGCACTGAGCTCCTGGCGGAGGGGATCATTACTTCACCCTCAGCCATTTCTAGGCCACACACTACACACCAACACCCACACCAAGACTTTCAACAGGGTTCCAAAATCGTTCGACGACCGACGAGGGCAAGTTCGAAAGTGCATGTCGGCCAACCTCCTAAACAGCCTGAGCTCTAGATTGGGCTTTATTTGTAAACGCCAGAACCAAGCATCAGGATCAAAAAGACAATTATAGGACCGGATAACCACACATGTTAACAACTTCACCAGACACAGGAGCGGACACTTGGTGGTTGGCGGTGGTTGGTTGATGGTTGGTTTGCCATCACAGCGGCACAGAGGCGGCGACGCAGGAGCCCCAGGGCGTAGAGCACGAAATGCTGCTCCTGTGTCGCCGCCGCTGTGCCGATGTGATTTCCTTGACAGGCGCAGCATTTAGTGCTCTCCAAGGGGTCGGATGTACGCCCTGGGCTCCTGTGTCGCTGCCTCTGTGCCGGTGTGATTTCCGTGGCAGGCGCAGCATTTGGTGCTCTCCAAGGAGTCGGATGCCCTGGGCTCCTGTGTCGCCGCCTCGCCCCAGGGCGTGCACCCTCCTCTGGAGAGCGCTTCCCACCGGCCCAGAGGCAGCGACACAGGAGCCCCACACCGTACACCCGATCCCTTGGAGAGCACCAAATGCTGCGCCTGCCACGGACATCACACATGCACAGCAGCGGCGACACAGGAGCCTGCCACGGAAATCACACCGACACACAGCGGCGGTGACAATTGGTTGGTGGCAGTTTGTGGGTGAACGCTTGTTGTGGTGCCATTTGGTTGGTGACACTTCGTTGCTGGCAATTGGTTGGTGGCAGTTGGTTGGTGGTAGTTGGTTGGTGGTAATTGGTTGGTGACAACTGGTTGGTGGCAATTTGTTGGTAGAAGTTTGTTGGTGGCAACTCGGTCTCCTGGTTGGCTGGTCTCTTGCTCTCCTACTCCGCTGGTCCCCTGCTCCTTCGGTCTCTTGGTCCAGTGGGCACCTAGACCTAGTCCCTTGGTCTCCTACTTATGGTCCTTCAGTCTTGGAAGCTCCCTAGTAGAAAGATAGCTTCCCAGTGGGGTGCTAGCTCGCTGGTAGGGTCTTTCCCAGTAGGGGGATAGCGCTGTCTATAGCGGGGGGAGGCGCTGCGCCCTCCCCTGCACCCCGTCCGGCTTTTTAATACCCTCCCCCGCACCCCCTCCGACTTTTTTAATAGTTCCCACTACCCCTACTATTGCCAGTGCCTCTATCACCCCGATCACCCCACTACGGGTCTTACCACAGGTGCCACAACTACTATCTTCTTTGCATTGACGCTGCCACAAAGAAGGATGATAAGGCCCACCTTCGATTAGCTGTGCCAGCGTCACAGGTGAATGAAAGTGCAGGCTCAGCTCTGACAACCCCACAAAGTTGGATGATAAGAAGACCTTCACCTTGAGCTGTGACACCCAATTAAACCAATCACGAAACGAAGCAGCCCAGCGCTGTCTATACTTGATTTGCATTGCGGGGGAGGTGCTACGCCCTCCCCTGCACGGCCCCTCCCGTCTTTTTTAATAGTTCCCACTGCCGCCCAATACCCGTACTTTTACCACTGCCGCTGCGCTGCGTTCCGCTGCTATGACGAGTATCGTTGAACGAAGTTTTCGGCTAAAGTGGCTAGGGGCCCCCGCTTGTGTTTCCCGCGGGGAAGCGAGTAAAAGAAAGGGAAACTCTGAGAGTTCTCATCGCGCTGGTTGAAAGACGCCATGTCGGCACAGCATCTACGGCGTGCGTAGGTCATCCCTAGCAGCTTCCTCAAGACCCCACTTGGATAAGTTGGAGGTGGCGAGAAATGTATTGCTCTGGGTATGACTTTCCACGCTTAGGATGCGCAGTGGATGTGCAACTGTGCAACTGTGGAGTGTGTGAGTCCGAATCCTCCACCGGTCCAGAAGAAGAAGAAACCAGAGATGGCAGATTGACCGAACCAGCAGAAATGGAAGGTCTGAAAAAGGTTGCGCAGAGCCTGTTTGAGCTGGAGGTGTGATTCATGTCTTTGTGGGTAAGGCTCAGTGACAAAGCACTTCCTCCAACAGTCAGAGTTACGACGTTCAGACATCCGAGTGGGTCGCCCCCTTAGTCGTTCAACCAGATGAAACTGACAGGATGATTTGAAGCATTGAAGCCCCACAAATGGGTTGCGCATATGCTTGGAGAGCAGAAGAGCATCTCAATATACGGCAGCTTCGAAGCGTGCTTGATATGATGGAACAGAAGGTGCGGCGCGAACCTTATTGCGGTTTATATGCGTTTAGGAGAGCCACACGTTTGTCTGGGAGTCTTGAACCACGGCCGATCTTCATCGAGGAATTGAACGGATCTGAAAGATCACTCCTTTGCTAGTGAGCCTCAACTTCTCTCCTTTGTACGCGTGGATTCCGCCTGCTCGGAAGCCAGCAAGCCAAGGAGCGAGCTTAGGCTTAGACAAGGTGATTGAAAAATGACTCAGGTGGTTCAGGAAGGCAAATTTGGTGGACGGATGAAAGATGCTGAGGTTGCAAGATAGAATTCGGGAACTGGTCACAGTGCGAGTTGGGTCTGACGACAGATGCGCGACAAAGCTTGAAGCCAAAGGGCAAGATGGGCAAATGTCGAATATTTGCAAGGCTTGAGAAACTGCAACAGTTGAGTTTGCAGGACAAAAATGCCTACATACGTGCCGGACCAATCCTCGAGGAAGGCAGCGTTTGGCAGACGAGTATGATTTGAAGAGCCGCCCCTTTTCGATGCAGATGGTTGCATCAGGCAACTAGTGAGAGAAGTGACACTGGATTGGCCTGGGACCTATTATGTGCTTGCAACTGGTCTACAGCCTTCTAAAAACCATATCCACCCCAGTTTTGTTTCCACTGCTCTTTTGCCCTTTGTTCTCCCTGTTTCTGCCCGAGTCTTGCAGTCTTCCGCTGTCAGCCAGGTAGGGACGCGTGGAACAGCGGATGTAGCTACAGTTTTGAAGACTGATTTTGGACAGGCGTTGACCGCCAAAGTACAGCAAGTACAGGGGCCAATGTTTTGGCTCAGGTTCAAGCAGCCTTGATGGCTTTCCTACCAGCTTTGAAAGCTTATCCCGAACAAAGAGTTTAGATTTCGGGTGTGGCCTTTCTTGTTTCAGATGGTACCTGGCCCTGGCAACCAGTCTTGCTTTGCTTCCAGGGAGACAGGTCGCAGCAATCGTGGTGCGTAGGCCATCGCATCGTGTTCCCTTTCTTTTTTCGAGCGTGAGCCAGTGAGATGCTCTTGGTCCAGGCAAGTCTCATCAGATCCCGCCCTCGAAGTTCCCTTCCTGGCTGAGAAGAGGGAGCTTGTGCCTTTTGCTGTCAGCCAACCCGGTGGTCTTCTCCTTTGGTTGACGATCCCGAACGTGAAGCTGCAGCCACGCCGTTACTTTTCAAGTTTCTTCATGTCGATGATGTGGCTGAGTGCCACAGCATATGTTGTTTGCATCGGTTCCGATAGGATCAACATCCTTTGGGGTATTCCTCGAAGCTTTCTTGGGTTGACCCTCGTCGCCATTGGAACCTCCTGGCCGAACCTTTTAGCCTCCATTGTCACCGCCAGGCCGGATATGTGTCACTACCGTCACTACCTCTTTTTGTTCGTTCTTTTAGCTTTGCAGCTTTTTGTCTCTATGTCACTTTTGCAACCTTCGAGGCAGGGGCGAGGAGAAATGGCTATCAGCAATGCCTTGGGAAGCAATGTCCAGAACATCTTCTTTGTTTTGGCCTTTCCAATTTTCATCAGTGTTTTGGCCAGAGGTGACTACACCAGCAACAGTGCAGAAATATTGTCTTCGGTGTTATGGATTCCTGGAGAGAAGAACGTTGCAGTACTTTTGTGACTCCATAGGGGGATGCAAACATTGTGCAAACAAAAATGTATTTATTAACCAACATAACCATGCCATTTTGGCCCAGGACCAAACACAGCAAACCTATATACTTTGGAATGCTTTGGCCCTGATGTTTAGTGAAGCAAGTGAGTCCATCAACCCAGTTGCTTTGTCCCGCAGACAGTCAGGATGGGGGCTACGTTAGCGGTCGTAGTGCTGCTCGCCAGCTGTTCAGGATTCAGCTTGCGAGCCTGGACTGGTTGTGCTTTTGTGGCCGTCTACGGCATGTACTTATTGCAGGCCTCAAGAGAGCTGCTTACATGAGAATGTGATAATATGTGTATGTGTAGCAATGCCATGAGCTGAAATGTTGAGCTCATCATCCCCGTCGACAAGGTGTCGCAATCGCGCTTGAGTGCTTGATTGTGAAAAAAGAGTGCTTGCAGGTTGCATTGAAGAGTAGATTGGCAGATGAAAGATAGGAGGACCTTTGTGTCTTTTGGTTTGTTACAGGCCACTGCGGCTTGCCTCGAACCAAGTGGGGAATTGAGTCTGTTTGCAACCAGGTATGCCTACCTGAAATACCACACGCGGCTGCCTGCGACGATGATTCGTTTCAAACCGTAGCAGCGTGTAGCTTTGCTGGCTCTTCGATCAGCTGATGTAGCCAGAAGGAGGCTTCTCATGTCAGCACGTGCAAAGAAGCTCTTTCTGTCAGCATGCGCAAAGAAGCTCTTGTGCCGCAGTGTTGAGCATGCTTTTGTGATATAAAACTACAGAATATATTAAACTATATAGGTTCTTCTATTGTACGCATATTATTGTTTGGTGCCTGCTTGTGCTCTTGAGATTTGAGTCCGCCGCCACAACAATGCCGACACGGCGCAGGTGACCGCGATGATTGTTTACCATGAACATACGTTGAATTTCTTTTTTGTAAGAACGTCATGAAACTGTTTGGTTCTTTAGACCTGTCACTGTCACTTGACTATCAACATGATCTAGAGTAGATAGTGTGGCCACAAACAAAAGTTACAAGACTTGCAGTCCAAGTTCTCACAACGTAGTCAACCAAACTCTGGCAAGATGCATCCAGAATTTCGGCATGTTCGTAGACAGAAAGCAGCTAGTTTTGTAGCAAAAAAACAGCAAGAACACAAGGCACAGCTAGTGTTTCAGCACCGTTTTAGTCCCAAAGCGCAAAGCAGAACACGTCCGCAGAAAATGTGCGACAATGCGAGAGATGAACCCGGATGCAAAAGATTAACTAAGTAGCAAGGGTGCTACTAGGTGGAGGCCATCGCAAGGATTGGCAAACATAGATTTTCTTTTTTACTCAGCTCATTTCGCCTTTTGCAGCTCTTTGGTGCTCTAGTCACTAGTCATCACGGCCACAATGAGGTGGCTTCGAAGTGGTTTCTGGGACGTGGACACGAAAGTTCTGGATCACTGGAACAACTTGTACGTTCCAAACCCTTCATTGGGCGGGTGGGTTTCGCAGGCTTCAATTTCGCAGCCCTCTTGATGAAAGAGGACAGTTACGTAGCGAAGTTCAGGCACCGCCTTTTCAATCGTTTCACTCTGGTGCCGGTAAGGAGGTTGTCTTGACACACTTCGGCTCTGCTACATTTTTGTCACCCACAGGCAATTCTGTAGACATGCTTAAAATCTTGAGCAGGCCCTTCAGAAAGAGCGTGACGAGCTTGCTGCTCAGGCCTCACAAAGATGATGCATTTAATCTTGATATTCATTTATTCATTCTTGATATACTTATATACTGCATGTTCATTCTTTCAGTCAGGTGGAAAGGCAGAAGGAGGAACTTCAAGAGGTTCCCGACGTCGGGTGTGAACATTTTATTGTTTTCTTGGAGGATGTGGTTTCAGAGGTCCATGCTTGGATGTCTTACAGATATTCCATCACATTCACATTCAGCTTAACTTACTTATTTTATCTTATCTGCATTCCATCAAATTGCTCTCAATGTTCTCTATTTGCTGAACTCAGCGCATTACACACTCAGAATTATGTAGGCCCGAGAACAACGCCTGGAGCAGCAGAAGGACAAGCTGCTGATTCTCTATGCTTTTGACTTCAGAATCAGAATGTATATATATATATATAGATCAAAGCCTTGATGTCCCAGTTTATCTCCTCTCTTCTTTGGTTTCTCTCTTCCACAAGGAGCTTGAGTCAAGAGTTGAGGCTTTGTACGACGAGACGAAGGCCTCATGGGGCTGTCAAGGCAATTTTTTGTTAAAGCTGATTTGTGTGGTTCTTTGCCAGAGGCTCGTAGAGCAGAATCAGGAGCAGCAAGGGATGAGGCCAGCTGAATGTTCCCCCCAAAGGCAATCTATTTTATTTGATATTTTTCCCAAAAGCATCTCCGATGCTTGGGTTCTCGTTTAGTCGCTAGTGCCGCGGAAGAGCGAGACAAAGCATGCGTAAGCATGCGTTGTCGGGGACGGAAGATGGAGGTGGACGGGGTTGGGAAGGGAAGAGGGAGGGGAAGGAAGGGTGGGTGGGGACGGGGCTGGGGAGGGAAGATGGGGAGCAAGACGGGAGGTGCATGGGTGGGGAAGGGGGTGGGCATGGGTGGGGACGGGGAGGGAAGATGGAGCGAGACGGGAGGTGCATGGGTGGGGCTGGGGAGGGAAGATGGACGGGAGCGAGACGGGAGGTGCCTGGGTGGGGACGGGGCTGGACGGGAGGGACGGGGCTGGGGAAGGAGGGGCGCGAGACGGGAGGTGCATGGGTGTGGACGGGGCGCGGCTGACACGCTAGTCACGCTAGTTACGAGGACATGGTGGCACCACAAGCATCATTGCAGGCTGCTCCGGGTCAGTTTACAAGTAGAACGAAGCATGGGCGGGGGTAGTTCTGCTCCATGCTTCGCGGAAGCACGTTCTGACGCGAGGGGAGCTGTGTTGCAGGGCCTATATGATGGTCTTGGGTGTCCAAAAGGTGCACAATGCACGCGCCAGACAGTCAAGTCATGGCCGAAGCGGCAGGAACGAAGCACGGAGGGGGCTGATGCTGCTCCATGCTTCCTGGAACGGTTGTCAGAAGCCATGTTGCACTGGGGTTGGAGACTAGCTGCAGAGATTGAAAACAGCCACTTGAGAGAGAGAGAGAGAGATATATATGTATATATAATACATCCAACTTCCAACCCGACTGAAAAGGGAACCGTCTTGTTTTCTTCTTGCTGCAACGATATTTCTATCTAGGGTCTATGCTGGTGCAAATTCTTAAGATCGAAGCCCGCAAAGGTTTGTTCGAGAAAAACAAACGACAAGTTCTCTCCTCCTGGGATATCTCCGCCATATCACTGATCATGCCAACGATGCACGCCGCCGGAAATCTATGCCAAAAAATTGACCACTAGACGATGAATGACCCGAAAGCATTTTACCGCGTGTGATGCGCTGTAGCGCTGGCACAGGAGTACACATGCGTGTGCTTTTCCCAAAGGAATCTCCGATGCTTGGGTTCTCGTTTAGTTTAGTCGTTAGTGGGGGGGAGAGCGAGACGAGGCAAGCATTTTTGTGGACGGAAGATGGGTGTGGACAGTGGAGATGGGAGGGTGGACGGGTGTGGATGGGGCTGTGGAAAGAAGATGGATGCTAAGTAGAACGAAGCATGGGGGGGCTAATGCTATATCCATGCCTTGCGGAAGAACGTTATTGCGCGAGTGGAACTGTCTGGCGTGGCCTATATGACGGTCTTGGGTGTCCAGAATGTGTGCAATGTATGCCGAAGACAGCCCAAGTCATTGCAAAAACGGCAGGATGGTTGCATGCCAGAACCGCAATGCTTCAAATTCCATGGTTGGAACGAAGCATGGAGGGAGCTGATGCTGCTCCACGCTTCCTGGAAGGGTTGTTAGATGCCATGTTGCAATCAGTTTATGACCGTTTTGGAGGGCTTTCAAAACTGACCAAGGGGTGGACGGGGGTGTATATGGCAGACGGGGGTGGACGGATGCACACCAGAACCGCGATGCTTGAAATATCATGGTTGCCACGAAGCCTGGAGGGGGCTGATGCTTCGTTTTGGCCTGCTAATGTGCGTGTGTTTATTTCTCCTGGGCTGCGCGCTTCTTTTTGCTTTTGGGTCCGCGGGCTCCACCTTGTTAGTATATACTTAAATAGTTGGACTTGCAAACATGACAGCATACAGATATCAATGAGCTTGAGAGGAGTCAACCCTTATCAAGCAACCTGTGGAGAGGTTCAGCGCCTCAACAATGCCCTGGATGTGGCCAATAGATCCTGTAAACATGCCGAGGCGATCTTGCATGTCTCAGGGTTTGAACAGATTGAATTGATGTCCGCTTTAGTTGTTGCTATTTCTTTTTTGGGATTGATTGAGGGCCTTTTCCGGCCTTTTTTCAAGCCCCATGGTCCATGACTGTTTTTCAGGTTAGTGTTCACGTATAGTAGTGAAGCACCATGAGTGCAGGCACGGGCAAGCAGTGCTGCAAAGAGTGTCGAAGAGGCTCTTTGTACTCGAAGATAAACGATAAACATGCGCTTGAAGGCTTGCATGTTTCAATGGGAAACGCTTCGGGAAGGTCAACAAACATGTTTTGTTTCTTACTCCTGCAGACCTCAGTAAGATGCCGCTCTGCAGAGGAAGCAGCTTCAACCTCGATATTATATCTTGCAGGGGTATAGCAACTATGGTGCGATATCGTTTCTTTTTTCCAAGGTCCAGCAATTGAAAGCAAGGCTTCAGGATGGGTTCTAAATTGATAGAACGGAAGAATCGCCTCACTGGGATGAAGATTGTATAATGAAACATTTTTTCATGAACATTCTTTTCGATAAAAGCTTGGACTTGAGATGTCTTTGCATGTCTTTCATTTGAAGGAGCTTCAAGCCTCGGAAGAAATGGCCAGAAGAAGGGCTGAAGGTTGCGAAGCTCTTGAGCTGGAAGTAACAAGATTGAAAGAACTAGTTTGCAGAGTTGAGATGAGCTCCGAGCGTTGTTCTGCAGCTCTTGCTGACAAAGCGGAAGCAGAAGAACGAGCTCAATGTGCTACTAGACGTGCTGAGATGTCTGAACAACGAGCCAGTGCTGCAGCCAATTCAGCCAAATCATTGGAGGAACAACTAGTTGTAGTTACCACAGACCTGGCAAGCTGCAGAAGTGCACTTGAAGTGGCTAAATCAGCAGAATGTAGATCACGCGGCTTAACCGATGCAGCCCAAGCGAAGCTAGTTGAGATCAAGGCAGAACTTGATGCATGCGTCTTGGACAACGCATCCCTGCGACATCAAGTTAAAGCGGGGGAGGTGGCCTTGCACAACTTTTCACTTGAGAAGGAAGCTTGTCAAAAGGACCAGGAGAAGCTTCAAGCAGACCTGATCCAGGAGAAGCGACGATGTGAAGAACTGACTCAACGCATGTCAACTCTGGAGAAAGAGCTGACAGAGTTGCGGCAAGTAGAAGAGCAGAGAAGAAAAGAATTGGTTGATTTTCAAAAGAGAGAGAAAAGACACTCGGTTCTCTTGGAAGAAAGAGAGAAGAGTTTGATTTGGTCAAAAGAAGAACTTTGCGAAGCTCAGAGGGAAGCCACTGCAGCACACGAACAGGTGATTCCATTGCAGGCCGAGGCCTCCCGGTGCCGAGCTGAAGCCCAAAGTGCAACTCAGCAGGCTCAGCACCGACGTTTGGAGGCTGAGGCCACACGCATGGCGCACTACGAGCAGGACACATGGCACATCATGGCACACTATGCGCTCCAAACAAGCCTTTTGAGCTCATTTCGCACGTGTTCAGGACCGTGAGCTACAACTCTTGCGAGAGCGCCTCAAAGTGCAGGGTGAGGAGTTGAAGCGTATTCAAATCCTTCTGGTCACGGGCTAAGCTGGCTGTGTGTTGGCGTGAAGCACTCTGGAATTCCGGTCTCCCAGGCCATGGGTGGGAGTTGCTTGGATTAAATGCAAGAGCTTTCACATACCCAACTCAAGAAGGAATGGCTACGCAGTCATTCTGACAAGTTGCAGTTTGCCTAGGGGCTCCTGGCATCGCTACTAGGAGCAAGTAGCTACTAGGAACAAGAAGCTACTACCGTATTTGGTTCTAAGATGCGGATGATGTGGCAGCAGCCGCGACTGCAGCTGCTACGGCAGCTGCTTCGTCTTACCTTGGGCGAGTCGACCAGATTCGGTGGGAGGACACTCAAGTGCTGAAAACAACGTGTAGCTGTAGCTAGAAGCTACTAGTAACAAGTGCATCGCTATTAGACGTGCAGCGTGCTTAGAGACGTTGAAGCCGCTTAAGCCTTTGGCCTAGACGGACTTGGCAGGGCACGCCACGGGGTGGACGTCCACGATTGCCACCCGCATCTGTCAATGCCGTCACCTTGGTCATGCTTGAGTGTTTGGACACACCCTCATTTGTGAGGAAGGTCACTTCTGCATCTTTTGCACACTTCAGATGCTTTCTTTCTTTTTTGGGGGAGCAGTGTGAACAGTGGGATCACTGGGCTTGACCTTTGGAAATACGGCACCAGTGAAATCATTCTCTTTTTTGAAGCTTGTTGGCCATACAATGTTGCTCCGAACACCGCCCGCACCAGGAGGTTCAGGGGGATGCTCACAGGCCCAAGAAAAATGTGGGCCCATAGTTTTATTTATTGATTAATTTTTTCAAAGAGAGTCCGCATCGTCAAGAAACTGTTCTGTATCAGGAAAGGTGCTGGTGCTCCCGTCAGATTTTTGAAAAGTGGATAAAAGCGGCCATGTTGGACGATTCCACGTATGGGGGTGATTTATTGTTGTTTGGTGGAGACAGCAGCAAAGATCGAAGAAGGAGAGTTGGATCCGATTGTCGGCGATGGGGACAGATTGGATGAAGCATGATGGTGGGCGCGGGGTATGCTGTCACAACAGTCACCCCACTCTCACGGCCTCTCCCCGTGCCCCATAAGCAGACAAGGGATAAAAGCTGTGGTTGCTAAATTGTGAGCTGGATCTACTTGCTCTCCGAACTTTTTGCGAAAAGTCGAAAAGTTGCGAACAGTCGAACAGTGCACGAAAAGGCAACGATTATAACAAGAGTCAGCCACCAAAAGGTCCCGGGGCTTGCCGGGTCCTTTTGGCGGGCGTCTCTTTTTTGAGGCGTTCCTGCTCGAGGCTGACTCACTTTGACACGGCTGGAGAGTCTGGAAAACAGCAACCTATACCTATATCTGTAGGAGCAAAAGCAACGTTTGGATCAATTCTGCTAGACTTTTGTTGAAGGGCACGGCATGTGACCGGTGTCCAAAAATATCGAAAAGTATCGAAAAGTCAAAAACTCTCGCTGCGTGCTTTCGTTTCCTTTACCTTTTTGACTTTGACTTTTCTCACTTTTTGACTTTTTGCGTTTTGCTTGGTGTCTTGCAAATAGACCGGCGCTAAAGGATTTAGCGAGCTTAGGATAAAAGGCCCATATTCTTTGGCATTTTTGGACTCAGGGCCGGCGACATGTGACACCCCGAGCGGCACATGCTGCGACTGCGGCGAAGCTCTTGGACAGCCCCGCTTTGCCACAGGTGTGATTTGCGTTTCTTTTGTCATGACAGCTTGAATTCTGACATCCAGCCAAGCAAGACATTGAGAACCTGGTTGTACGAGTATTACAGAACAGTTCGAAGGCTTTGAAGGGGTTCTTTTTGTCTTTAGCATGCTTTTGACTGCGCTGTTTGCAGGGTGGTGCCTTCAAGCGCAGGCAGAGTGTGCTGCTTTGTTTTGCGTGGGCAGGACTGCTTTGCTTGGCAGTTTTGGTGCCAGGACTCCTAGCACTGCAACTACGCCTGATCTGGAGATGTTTGGATAGCCACTCTGCGGTTTTCCTGTAACCTGCTTGAGACACACAATGAGAATGGACATTTCATGGGAAACGAGCATGATTTGACACCTGCTGAAAATGGCAGGGGAACAAGGGAAGGACCGCCGTTTGAAAATGTGCTTTAACCTTTCTCCTGTGCAGTGACCACAATCGCTAGTGTGGTGTTTGGGGCACTGAGGCTGCCGGAATTTTCAAGATCAAACACCAAGAGTTGCACATGAAAATGAATAGACAAATAGACAGAGCACCCCGAGATCAAGAAAGAGAGAGAGAGAGAGAGAGAGAGCGATGGAGCGAGTGGATGAATGAACGAGTGAGTGGCCAGAATCTGAAATTGTATATAATTGTACGCATGCAAGTGGCAGAACCTCCCACGAAGCAAACAAAACATGGCTGAGTTCGACACATACATTTCCACACCATGGCTGCGGACTCAATGCTTGCTAGAAGTCAATCTTGGAGAATGGGCTTCCAAATTTGTTTGAGGTCCGCGCCAAAGATTCCACGGACATACTCGACACCAGGGTCAGCGTCTGAAATGTGGACTTGCTGTGGCACCTGGCCGATTTGCGGAATCAGGATGGTATTCAAAGTATTAAGTATTGAAAGGATTGAGGATGGTTGATTGGTTGGATCATGTTGGATCAACTTCTGAGGTATACTGGCCAAGCAGGATCCTCAAGCTTCTGATACTTTAGAGATCCAAACAGTTAAAGCCAAGGTTGGAACACTGAGGGTTCCGGGCTTCGAAGCTCAGAATGCAACCACCGGGAGTTGCAGTAACTCCTTCCAGACTCTTGTTTCTTCTGTTTTTTTTTTTCTCCGGAACACAGATGTCCAGGTGATGTATCTCCATTCCCTCCACTGCTGCTTGGAAGGCCTTTTCTCAGCTTCTTCAGCTTGGTTCTTTCTGTCGTAGCGGTTGCCCAGGTCCTTATCGCACGCCATACCTCCATCCGGGCTGTCCTTTGGACCTGAAACAGCGCCTCCGGGCTTGCTCCCATCTGCATCACACTCCATTTCGGCTCTCTTCCAGCCAGTGTGTTGCCCAGCGTTTGCCTTTGGGCCTTTAGCATTCTTTCTTGTTCCTTGCATCACTTATTCCTGCCCAAGGGCGTCTTTCAGTTCCACAGTGAAGCACCAACTGCAGGGGATGATGCAAGGCCAGCTAGAACTTTCATTGGAACATGTCACAATCACGAACATTGGTGCATCGTAGATTCTCGGCCCATTGCCCCGTTCTAAATCAGGACAGGATGGCAAGCATCAGAACCAGTTGCAGTCCAGCCGAAGGCCAGACAAGCACCCAAATCACGGGTTTTATCGGTTTCTTCATTTCTGAACCAGCCCTTGCTAAAGTGACAAGACATGCAAAGTATTTTTCAGAGCAAAAAGCAGGATTCATTTTGCAGGCGCCAGCGAATGGCCCACCTCCAGCTCGGCAAAGCTTCGAATCAGTGTCACCTAGCATTCCTTCAGTCCCTGTGCCCCAGAATGAACTGGCAATGCCTCTTTTTCTTTTGCTGTGTGTGCTACATCGTGCCTTCACTTTTTGTGCGTTTTTGCAGCCCAAATTATGAGATACTGCACAGGTACGCGGGCGTCAGGGAGTTGCACATCGCCACTGCAATGAAGTGGGCCTATGCCAGGAGGGTGATCGGTCACGTTTTTGAGCCTAATCGCTTGATTTGGCCACTAGAATCATTAAGAATCCAGGAGCCCATGGGAAGCATGACTCAGTTGGAACAATGCATAGCTCAATGCCGCAAGGAAGTGGAGGCGGAGAACAGTGTGGTGTGTACGGTGTGTACATGCGTGCAGTAGTATAAGTTCTAGTTATGCTGACAATAATCAACACGGGATGGGATAGGCACCTTGATAATTCTGCTTTAGATGTACACTTCCTTGCCAGAAGGTGCCTGCATTAGAGAAGCTGTGGCCGCTACGGCTCATGCTGCCTCCCTGATATTGGTTGAAATAGTTGTAGATTTGGTTGTCTAAGCGCCAGTTGAAGGCAGTATCGTCCAGAAGGCTTGTTTTCAAAATGTGTTCCGTCTCTACTCAACTCCTCACCAAGTGGCATCTTCGTTTGATGTGCATCCGTTTGGATCATTTGAAGCGCAAGATTGAATTGCCTGCAGCTGATGGTCATCGGTGGAACTGGTGCTCGTGGTGCTTCTGCTCTTTTCAACCTCTTCCAGCCGTTCCATCTGACGCAACATGAGTCATTTGTTGTGTTGCTATTGGCTGTTTGTCAAACTCATTAAGCTCCCATCTCCAGGTTCAATGCATCATGACAATCTGAATTTCACTGCTTTGTTTCGGCTTTCGATACTATGTTACTATATGTTACTATATGATTCGAAGTTCTAAGACCGTGAAACGCAAGAGCCCCTCGCACCACGCATGCAAACAGCGCACTGCAAAGCTCATACTGCATATTGGACTTGAACAGACCTCTACGAGAAACATATCAATCATATTCGTGGGGTAATCTTGTCATTTTGATCTCGGCTGAATGATTTCAATTGGGAGGCAATTGCTTCCAATTGCCGGGCGGGACAGAAGCTGGACACCAAGTCTTGAGTGCTCTATGGTTTTGTCGTTTGCTTGGACCGAGGTTTGAAGATCCGGACTTTCCCGCAAGCAAGACTTCACTTGGAAGTCATTCTGCTTAGCAACTTGCGGATTACCTGGCAGTTTGCAGATGTTGGCGGGCTGAAGTGTTTGCTCTGCTTTGTTGCGCCTTTTGTATTTTCTTGGCAACTTTTGCTTCAGGCTTCAGTATCATTTTAAGACATTGACAGCCACAAAAAGTTGAGGCAGCCAGTTTTAGGGTGATGCAAAGCAGAACAGTGTTGATGATATACATCAACATCTACTGTAGAATCTCCCCCCAGCCCAACTTGAAGACTCACCGAAGACATGAATTGCAAAGTTTCACATGTTGCAATTTTGTGGTCGGACAACCCAAATTTGGCCTCTTGCAGACTAGGTACATAGTCGAAAGTTAACAGTTTATGCTAGCTGCAGAAAGCTTGCAGAGCCATGGTGATGGGTGAGGGGAAGAAACTTTTTGTGGCAAAGCTTCCACAGGATCCGTTTTTGGCTCTCCTTAGTTTGTCCCACTCAATTGCATTGTCTCAAGTAAGCTGTTCAGCCGATAAGTGGACAATTAGAGTATTGAATACGTCCGAGATGTTTGATACATCATGATATGTCAGTTCATTTATTTCACCGTACTGGTTTGATGACTGCTTGCCGTCACCAGGACATTGAAGAGGACGAGATAGAATATGCGACCACCACAGGACCATTTGCAACTTTCCAGTTCACATGCGGCCTGGTCTCAGGTCTTCAAAACTTATGGACCTGTTGAAGAGGCAGGTTCGATTTGCAGAAAGCATGTATGAAAAGTTCTTTTCCTGGTCTTTCCAAAAAGCTTATTGTTCCGAGTCACATGAAATTGACATTGATATGCATATATATATATATTACGAAAGCCAGCCGATAGGCAAGGCTTGAGGTTGATGGAGCGAACAAAGTGAGTTAAAGGGGTGTGTGGGGGGGTGGTTGCGAGAGGGGCAATCTCGGAGAGGCTGACCCAGAGCCTGGTAAGGGGAGAGCGAAAAAAAGAGAGGTGGCCAGGAGGTAGTGAAAATGAGTACTTTTTGGGGTGTTCTGATGCAAGTGATGTTATTGACGGCCAGTAGTGCATCATCAGCACCATGAGGGGCTCAGGAGGCCATGTAGACTGTTTTTATTAGGGGTGGAAGTTCACGACCATGAGAGGAAAGGGAGGGCAAGGGGACGTGAAAAGCTGGTTAGAAGTGACCGTATACTTGAGAGCAGGAAAGAGAACAGATTGCAGCTTCGGGCAAGCTTAGCGTAGTTGCCTGACTGAAGCGGGCACTCCCTGTGATTCATGTGGATGAGGCAGGAATGTTGAGGGCAGGAGAGAGAACAGATTGCAGCGGGCAAGCGTTGGAGGGGGAAGGTTTTGGGTTGCTTGGGGGTGCCCTTTTTTATCCGTGGCAAGGTCTAGCTGCTGGACTCAAAAGAAAAGGGCACCCCATATGGGGTGCAGGATCCACTACAATACGCGCTTTTCCTTGTGTGGCAAAAGGGCTGCAGTGAAGTCACATGTGCAAAATGTACAAGCAAACTGTACTCTCTATGATGCTAGTGATGTTATACTCTTGCACAATGACCCCAATGGAAAATGGTTCGCATATTTACATTGGTTTTTCGTGATCAATAGATGACTAATCAATTGATTGTTCCAGGTCGTTCTCATGGACGCTTCTCGATCCAATAGGCCGGATGAGGCCGTCCAAGCACGCCCAAGATGATGTCGTTCTCGTTCCTGTCGTTCTTTTGTTCCTTGGTTCCTCTTGTTCTCAGTTCCTTTTGCAAAAACAAAGAAACGAAATGCTGTTGAGAACAATGAACTTGCATTACTGGGGGTCACTTCTTCAGTACTGAATTGGGATGAGCTGATTTCGCTTGACAGCGCTGCGGCTTTGTGATCTACAAGACTGTCGAAGCCGCCAGAACAGCCGTCGAGGCCCTGATTTTTTTGACTGAAACTGGCTTGCATAGACACCAGCAGAATTGCACCACTTGCACTTCCATTAGTTTCTTCGCTCTGAATTCCAAATGAACATGCAGCTGGAACAACTTGGTTTTGGTTTCGGGGAAAGCAACGAAAGAAGACGACGTTGGCAGGTGCTGAATGACGTATATCGCTTCCGTGAGGCAAGGGTTGCATCGCCATTCCTTTTTGTTCCCCAGATAGCGAAGCTATGGGGTTCTTACTTCAAATAACAATGAGTTGCCCGTGTGCGCTTTCAAGACAGGTTGCTGGCGCTGGTGCTGGTGCTGTGAGCTGGCTGTGCACGCGGTGGAGACAGGTTGCTGGTGCTGGTGCCGGGTGCCAGTGCTGGTGCAGGGTGCCGGGTGCCGGTGCTGGTGCTGTGAGCTGGCTGTGCACGTGGTGGGGGCAGGTTGCTGGTGCTGGTGCCGGGTGCCGGTGCCGGTGCTGGTGCCGGGTGCCGGTGCTGGTGCTGGTGCTGCAAGCTGGCTTTGCACGTGGTGGAGACAGGTTGCTGGTGCTGGTGCCGGGTGCCGGGTGCGGGCCTGGTGCTGGTGCTGTGAGCTGGCTGTGCACGTGGTGGAGACAGGTTGCTGGTGTTGGTGCCAGGTGC